AACCTCTGTCAAACTGAGACAACAACCAACAAGCAAACACAGACGCTGTGAACACGAGGATGTGAATCTGGTTGTTTCTTAAGTCTGACATGTTGGAGTTTCAACATAACTGAGAAGTTGTTGGTTCAAAGACGCGTTCTGCAGATGGAAATCAGATGTGTACTAACCTGTTTCTACAAACATGTTAATACTTAGAAATGTTAGATAAGGAGGCAGAGAATGGTTTGTCTTGCCTTTGTTGAGAGCAGAGCGATTGGTCTGTAGAGGACGTGGGGGTCTTCACGCTGGTTATCTGACCTCTGGCCCTGAGCGTGTATCTTTCAAACACCAAAGGATCCTGGTGTCGTGAAAGCTGGTGTAATTATAATAAAGTCCTGATCTGTTGACTCTTCTCTGAGGAATGAAGTTCACAGATGGGTCAGGTTCAAGAGGCCTGCCTGTAATCCATCTTACAGCAAACCGGTGTTTTCACAGGTTTGAGCTTCTTCTTCTTCTTAAAAAAAGTGTTAAAATGAGGTGATGTTCAGCGGATTTCTGTCTCCACTCGAGAATTTAATCCCATCTTCTGTGGATAACTGGTGCAGCTGTGGTGTCTTGTCCAGATCTTTCCAAAAGCTGGATGTCAGAAGACGTTTAAGTCTAAAAACCTTTTCTGGTTAGTATGCTGATGTTAGCAAGTAAGTCCATCTTACACTGGGGAAGCTTTACTGCCTGACAGTCTGTCCTAAAATGGCCACTGTTCAGAGGATAAATGAGTTTATCAGCAGTCCGATTTAGGGACTAGTGGCAAAGCTAGCTGGTGACTGTAGCTGGCGAGCTAACCGCTAACACACTAATCAGTCACACTAGCTCTCTAACCGTCTTCAGTCTTTACTTGTGTAACCTCTCTGCGTCACCATGTAACACGCATCATAATGCTGTTCATAACTTACCACTCTGAAACATCTTGATCCAGTCCACGTTGTGAAGCTGGTTCTGGTTGCTCTGCCTGTGTTTTGGAATCAGAATCGGGCTCCAACAGGTACGGCTGAACAAAAGCCGTTGTATCAAGGACCCGCCCTACTCTGCTTCTGATTGGCTGGTAGTCCTTAAGTAGGCACTGCGCAACAAAGATGTTGTAGAGGTAAGATGGTGAAAAGAGGAGCTACAGCAACGTGCAGTCGGACAAAAATATGGTGTTTTTTGAAAATGAAACCAGGTCTTTTACTGGGTTTCTGTGATTGGGGGTTATTTTGTTCTCTTTATCCCAACTGACTGACGTATCCATCCCGTCAACGTAATGTCCAGGTATGTGCACACATACGTAGAATGTGACTCCGGTTTAACATTACTCTCATAATAAAAACAAATGGAGATTCTGTTTCTGCAAAAGAACGCCTCAAATATGTTGGACAGTTTAATCTGGAATTATTAAATTAATACTTGCGTGCACTGCAATTTATTCTCATATATAAGGTGAGCAGGAGAACAAATTACATTTAAATTAATGCCGTTTTCAATGCGTCAGTCGAGCAGATATGAGAGCATAGTTTCATGTATTGTTATCTCATGTTCATGTTACAAACACTATTTGTAGTGCATTTGGTTTACTCTCTTTTTAAACGGGGGAATCCAGATTAGTACCTGGGTCATCCCGTCTTGTGAGTGTGTTCCCCTCCAGCCGGTGACGTCACTAATCGAGAGGGAGGCCCCTTGAAGGGTCGGACATTGGGCTACCTCACATGCACCACATTTCAAGATTGATTGTGATTTACAAAGTGAACGTTACTTAGAAGTTTCCGTACGCACGGATTTATAAGTCTGAATATTTTTTGGCATACGCCATTTTTGGCTTTTGGCCGCATGTACACTTTTAGTGAGGATTCCACGCACGGTTTTATAAATGAGACCCCTGGACATGTATAAGTGTGGAGGGCAGGTTGGCAGCAAAGATCTTCTCTGCAGTCCTGACTGTCTGCTGTAGTCTGTTCCTGTCCTGTTTGGTGGCAGATCCAAACCAGACAGACGTGCAGAGGACGGACTGAATGATGGCTGTGTAGAAACGGGTCAGCAGCTCCTTAGGCAGGTGGAGCTTCCTTGGCTGGCGCAGGAAGTCAGTCTGCGTAGAAGCTGCTGTGGAGGTTGTCAACGTTTCTCGTGTCAGTCAAAGACATGTTGATTTCAGAGTTGCTTCTCTAAAGTCGACTGCCAACAACCAACCTGTACAGCTGCAAACATCTCATCCACACTTCAAGACGTTTCTGTGGCCTCTAGCACATGAAACCCATCCTGCAAAGCCCCGATCGGCTCGGCTCTGTCTCAGATCTGTTTGAACTGCAGCGAAACTGGGAGGCGTGGGTGGTAATTCAGAGGTCTGGAACCAGACTAGTGGTGAGGATCTAAGAATAGCAAAGCTTCATCCATGTTTGGCTTCCTGCTGTGTAATGAGTGTTGCAGCACTAACGTGACTACACACTTGTAATCTTGTTTGGCATGTAGATGACGTAAATTTAAAGTATTTATACGGATCAGAACACAGAGCTTCGCATCGCTCCATCTGAGGCAGGAGGTGTAAATTAAGCTTTTCTTTGGGGCTCTGCATGATAGACCGACAGGTTGCTGCAGTGCTGATGAGCCTGATCTGTCTGTTATGTACAGACAGCTTGGATTTTACAGTGAAGTCAACCTTGAACAAGATATCTGATATATAAAACCTTGTTTTGATTATATTTATGGTCGCCATTGTATTTGCAAATGTTGTTCTCACGCAAAGCATTTCCAGGAAACTGCCTGTAAGTACTGGACGCATTGCGGAAGACAAAAGCTGGGGCACGAGCACATCTCACATAATCATGATCCGAACCCTGTTTGCTGCTGGAGCGTTATTATTTGAACCCCCGTGCTCCCACATCAGCCCCTGACTGTGACTCAGTGGACCGTTTGTCTCTAATTTTCCCAAATTGTAAACGCTCAATCAACTGAATCAGACGGATCCTGATGCAGCTCATTTTATTATCAGTGTAGTTACTAGTTGATGGTTCAATAATCACCTCACTCATTAAAGACAAGTCTAATAATCCAAATATTATACTTAATAAACCTAAAATAATTACTTCTGACGTTAGTGGAGGTGAGGTTATAAAACACCGTGGGAAAGCTTTTGTATGAAAGTTGTGTGGTGACTTCTTTGGATTGTCCAGAGGAACCAGGACATTTGTTCCTGAAATATCTCAACAGCTGTTGGATGGATTGTGATGAAGTTTTGACGTTCACGTTCCCCAGAAGATGAGTCCTATTAACCTTCCTCTAGTGCCACCAGCAGGTCAGAGTCTTCTGTGAAACATATATCTCCTGGAGGGATCTGCAAAGAATGTGGGACAGACTTTCTTGATCTCCAGATAGTTTATTTTATTGACTTTGGTGATCATCTGACTTTTCTTCTAGCGCCACCAAGAGGTTCACATTTGTGGTTCTAAGTGAAATATCTCAACAACTATTTGATGAATTGCCATGAAATGTGCCAAACACATTCTATCACATTTTTTCACTTAGGGGCTGTTTAGACATTAATGGCTGTGTGATGTGTTATTTTGAGGAGACAGCAAATTTACACTGTTATACAAGCTGCACACTCACTACTTTACATCATACAGTCATTTCTTCAGTGTTGTCAAATGAAAAGATATAATCAAACATTTACAAGAATATGAGGGGTGTCCTCACTTTGGTTGCCAGCTGTTTAGACATTAATGGCTGTGTGATGTGTTATTTTGAGGGGACAGCAAATTTACACTGTTATACAAGCTGTACACTCACTACTTTACATCATACAGTCATTTCTTCAGTGTTGTCAAATGAAAAGATATAATCAAACATTTACCAGAATGAGAGGGGTGTCCTCACTTTTGTGAGATACTGTAAGTGTACTGACGGAAGACACATTATTAGTCTGGTGAGACTATGAGCAGTAAAAACTAAATATTGTATTGGTATTAGTGGTAGACATGACATATTTATCAGTCAGCTGATTAATCGGGCCGATAGCTGGCATTTTGAGATGCACCTCCGAGGCAGACGTATCCTAACTGTCAGCAGCTCTAATTTAACAGGCTAGCGTTAAAAAATATAGTTATACGGTACCCCACATCAAGCTGCTCTCTAAATATCTGCAATTACAAAATCTGTATTAGTCGACCCTTAATTAGTACTGAAAAGAGATATCTTAAATCTATACAAATAAAAACTATCTGCATGTATATACTTCCAATTTGTCAGTAATAAAAGTCTGTTTTAGGTAATCGTTTATGAGCTGAGCTTGAGCTCAGGCAGGTGGTTTAAGATTTAAAACTTCTGGTGTTATCAGTGAAAGGCTGGAGGTGTCAGTGTGATCAGTTGTTTTGTTCCACTCAGTGCTGCTGAAGTTATTGAACTGTGCGACGATCAAACAATGACCTGAATCAGTTCTAACGCCTGTTGTGTAAGAGAGAGAGAGACACACACACACACACACGTAATGTGGATGGTTGTCATGTGATGCAGCATTCAAACATTCAAGGCTGAGAGGACACACACTCTTAAATGCACAAACACACACTCTTTTCTCTCTGTTGTCCCTCACAGTCATTTCAGCCTCGTTATCTCCAAGTCACAGCTACAGAAAATCATTATTTTTTCCCAGCAATTTACCGATTATTTTAAATGCATTCATTTAATGTTAACGAGAGAATCCTTCTTCCAATTTCTCATTGTGTTCATCGACAAGATTCGGTTCTAAACATCTCATTGGCTGCAGAAATAAAGTGTCAGTTATATTTATAATTTATATTCTGCAGGTCGCAGCGTCTCCAGTTTGAGGTTTTCAGTTTTGTATTTGGTCTCAGCCTGTTGTATTTTGTGTAATTGTTCCAACCCTGAACATTGTTAATGTTAAGAAAATCCTCTACCAAAGAACGATTGAGTCACAATTAATGATCTTTACTTGCAAGGAGTCAACACATGCACTGCAATGAATACAGAATTGACTGACGAGAAAGGCTTGAGAGTCTTCTTTTAAAAAGTCACACCCATTGTTTTTTCATGACATAAAAAGTAGCTGAATCTTTATCTATATCACATGTCACTTAAGAATAGACAGGAACTGTTATTTATCTTACGCCATGTCCTTCCCTGTAGGCGTTTCCTGTCTGCCTCCAGGCACCAGTTCCTGTCCTATAAGTTCACTGAGAGTGCATAAGTGCGTTGAAAGTGTTAAATGCTTCATCTTTCTATTTTTAGGCAAGCATAGCATATTTTCCAAACATTTTATTTTCATCAATTTGGCAAAAACACATGTGCATTTATTCCATAGAGTAAGGTGTTATTTAATAAAGATACAGATTATGTTAGTTGTTTCAGTCTTATAACAAGAGATAAAATGGACGGCACACTCAGTTTAAAAACCAAGCTGGAAACTCCGGGTCTGAAAAGTCACATGTTTCCAGTAGTCAGATAAAACTGCATCACAGCCAACGTCATGTAGATGTAACCGGCTGTTCCTGAGAACGTACTGCACGGTCCTGACTCCAACCGGCGACCTCGGCTACGGCAGGCGGACACACTTTCGAGGAGGCTAAAACCCATGGGCCCTGGCGTTTCTCTTTAGGTGTCGGGGAGTGAGGTTTACTCACTGCACAGCCTCGCCGGCTTCCGTCACACAGAGGTAGGTTGACCAGACAAAAAATTCGAGACAGTCCTGATTTATGAGCGGTTGTCCCGAGTCCTGTCCTGTTTAGGACAAAATTAAAGCTGTAATTGCATAATAAAACATTAACTATTGGTGTTAATGGGCTCTGTCCCTGCTCTCCACTGGCTGCAGCAGGGACTGCAGAGTATCTGGACATTTTGTCAAAAGAGTTGTTAAAGCCACAAAGTAACTCGCTGCTCTTTTGCCCCTCTTCTTTTCTAGTGTAGATGAAGATAGTTGTGAGGACAGGGGAAGTGTCGCTGCAGGAAAATTACATAAACTATATGTAACAAATCATTGCATACAATACAGTCATTGTGTTTTTTCTTAAAGACAGACAGGTGACTTCATTAACAAAAATTATACATTTTAGCGTTTTGCAGGTTCTGGTTTTACTGTTCGTTGACCGTGAAAGTAATGCACAGGAGGCCACGCCCACCTCCAACTCCCCTGTCCTGAATTTCACCTGTTCTTGTCTGGTCACGCTCTGTAGAGCAGACGGGCCGAATCATTATCATTTCATGTTCGTGACATCGTGTGACAAATAACATGACAGCATAACAGTCGTGTTGCATCTCCAGCTATCGACGTTCGGAAACAGCTGCCACACAGTGGACTGACTGAGGACAAGCTGTGTCTCACTTTGGTACACTAACATGCAGTATACTGTGTATATTATGTACCTAAAATTTAATAAATGTCCACATGGTGTCTCCAATCGAATGCGGATGGACAATGAACTACTTTTTATTTTTATGGCAAATTGTAACCGGGCAGCTCATTATCACTTGACCGCCAAAATATCTGCCGGCTTGTTTGCTCACGTGACTTAAATTTTATTAAAAATACAATAAATTTTCTGTCTTGTTCCTTCCCTTCTGCCAAGATGGCAATCATCGAGGGGGTGTCCAACGTGCTAGACTAAACTTTTTGACCGTTGTTAATAGTGAACTGCTCTTTGCCATAACGGTCAGTGTGAACGCACGCATGCACAAAATAGTAAGTGTGAGTACAGAATATAATGAGACACATTAGCCTGTTACCTGAGTGTCTCAGTTTATTACATAGTTGTTCTTGTTTACTTGTTTCAGTTTGTGTTGTCACACAACAAACCAGTTTAATTTAAATGCTTCCCACATCGTCTGACAGAATCAGCATAAATATAGGTAAATCACAAGAGCTGCTCAGTTTATTTTGACTTTTAAGATGATGCATCACAGGAAGTCCTTTAACCACGTAGGCCCCGACCCTCACTTGGCAAGCTTTGTTTTCTCCGTACACACTGACACACAAAGCTTTTAGGATTTATAGACTCTGGAAAATGAGGTAGGGCTGAAACAGAGAGAAAAGGATGGTTTACAGATTCAGCTTAGACTGAACTCGCGGTCTTTATTTGTAAAGCAACCCTCCCCTGGTTAAATGAGACCTATTATACTGCTTTTCCAGTCCTATATTGTAGTTTTGTGATGCCTGTATGACAGCTATGCATGAATCAAAGTTCAAAAAAAATTATTTCCTATCTTATACTGGCTCTTCATGTAGGCCTTCATTTCAGCCTCTGTCTGAAACAAGCTGTAGATGCTCCTGTCTCTTTAAGCCCCCCCTCAGAGCCCACTGTCTTCTGATTGGCCAAGAGCTAAAGCATGTTACCAGGCTGCTGTTGTTGCTGGGCGGAACAGGCAGACTGAGTGTTGCTGTGCTGTTAGTGTGGGAGCAAATGACCATATATGGAACGGCGGCTCCGTCTGGCTCCGTATTACATAGAACGGAGCCGTTGGTAGAAGAAGCAGTTCAAAACAGAGCGTTCAGAACAGGAGGAAACCTGAGAAATTTGCTCACATTGATTTCTTTTTTTTTAAAGCTTTGCTCACGTTTAACATGAACATCCAACATTATAACATGTAGATAAGTCATAAAATGTGGAAAAGCATAATAATAATGTAAAGTCCTGTTACACACGCTTGAAAATCTGATCTAACTGATTTAGTTTAGTTCAGGGCCTTTCAGATGCAGACAAAGTGTCAACTAATGTTTTTTATGTAGACGTAACATAAGAGAGGTTTGACGACGACGACAACTTTAACGCAAACCTTAGCCTGAGACGTTACATGGAGCAAAAAGACTGAGGTCATGTTAATGGCTCTGTGAAGCTGAGCTAAATGCTAACATCAGCATGCTCTCAATGACAATGCTAAGACTCTGAGTTTTAGCATATATAGCTTTTAAAATGTTCACAATCTTAGCTTAGCGTGTTAGCATGCAAACGTTTGGCACCAAACCTCAGGTATAGCTAAGGCTGATGAGAATGTCTTTAGTTTTGCAGGTGTAAGTACTGGACCAATAAAAATGTAGACCTCATGAGATGGCCCTAGGAAAAGTCAGACAATAGAAATTAGAGCCTGACTGATATGGGATTTTTAAGCCCGATACTGATTTCGATATTTCAGGATTTTAAAATCCTGTTAGTGATTTGATGATTGTGCCAAAACGATTGAGAATAACTGTAACAGTCATAAATCGGGTGTTGTAGACGCCGATGCCGATCTCTCTGCAAGTATCTTATATCGGCCGATAATATCTGCACAACGGTAAATCGGTCGGGCTCTAAAAGAAATATAATCTTGCAACCGGGCTTTGTGTTAGCAGAGAGCTGATGTTTCTGAACAACAACAACTAGATACCATAAAAATAGTAACATAGATTATTTGTCACTATTGACGAACACACAGACGCAGCAGCCAGGTTTAACTATGTAGAAACTTTAACTGAGAACCAAAATACTGACTGTTACTATCAATTCAAAGTTTGACTGTCCTGTAATCATAACCCAGAGACGAACCGAAACCAACGTCTGACCTGAACCCCAGAATCCAAACCTGAACCACACACACATGATTGAAGCCACATCAAGCCTATGATTTGAATTTTCTCCACAGATTCTCTTCACAGTTTGATTTTGTCTGTTATAATACATCAACTGTGTGTTCAGATGGAACTCATTGCCCTCATGTTTGTGTTTGTATCTGGAGGTGTGTAAGGCAGATTGCCCCTGAGTGTGTGAAGGTATTTTATCTCTGTGAGGAGCACCTGATTTTCAGACCTCGAGGCCTCTGGCTTCATGCTGGTAACATTTGAAAACGCAGCAGCAGTGTGTGTCCATCCCGATGTGCATGTGTTGAATCCCCTACCTTTACTGTTCAGCTTTGATGCAACATCAGTGTGACACGCAGCTTTCAGCCAAATGTCTTTGTCTCTGTTTTCTGGAGAGAGACAGATGAAATCACAAGGTATAAATTCAACACTACAAGATTGTTGGGCTCGCTAAACCAAGCAAATATGTTTCCACGGGGATGTGATTGGACGTGAACCAGAGCACTGGACTTCTGTTTTAATGATTCAGAACTTGATGACAATGTTTCCCCGCAGATAAACATTTCAAAAGCAATCCGGTTCGATAATATACCTTAATTAACTCGTGGATACAGATGGCATCCCGTTCCGTCACGTCTCCATAGTGCTCCAGATATCCACTGTCAGGAGACACATTACCTGTACCTTACCACCGCCGCTGAGCCCACATTAACATTAATATCAAAAGGCTGCAAATCATTTTCATTGGCACACTGTGCGAGCATGATAACACTCCAAACAAAATAAATCCCAAGTACTTCAACTTACACTCTTAATAAATTATAACTGTACAAACCCCTGCACCTCTACTCAGAGCGCCATTAGTAGTTTAAATGTGCTGACATGGAGACAGACCATTAGTCCAGAAATATTTATTTAAAACGACATCACAGACAAGACAGACTGTAAGGACGGCTACTCTGAGCTGTGTTTACATTACATTAGCCTAAACCAACACATTCTCACTCCAAATATGCAACGTCCGGTAAAGTTAGCAACAATAAATAATGCTAGCGTTTCGAAACATCGCCATTTTGAAACTGCGGGTTATTAAAGCTGTGAAACGTTGCAGTTTGGTTGGGTTTAGGCCCAAAAAGTACTTGGTTATGGTTAGGAAAAGATCATGGTTTGGGTTAAAATAACTACGTACGTCAGTTAACATGTAAGTCAACTAATGTCACTTGCGTAAATTACATACAATTTACACAACTTCAATAAAAATATTCATTGCTGACTTTTTGTTTCACACAAGACACGAACCCTGGTGTCCTGGTTCAAGAGTTCTGGCCCTCCAACCACCTCCTTACTCAGTCTTCTCTGTTAATTATCATACCTGCCTTTACCGTCAAAAACAGACGCTACAGGGCTTCCTCCCACTGCGTTGAACCATGACGCTATAGGGATCCCAGCGCGTTACAAACTGACGCCGATGGGCCTTGACCATGCGTCCATATGTGGCGAACGTGGTATGTTACATAGTTGGCCAAGCAACGCAGCAAAGCCAGCTGTCTCAAACTAAAATAATGGTAACGCAAAGTTCTTCCACACACGACCAGGTGTGGTTTCTTTATTGTGTTGATGTACGAGTGTTTTCTTTAACGATCTTTTTGATTAGAGAGGCTGGTATCAGTCATTTTAAATGTTTCCAGCAGCAAAACTAAAAACTGTAGTTATAAACTTGACAAGACAGGCAGAGGAAACAATGCAACTTTTAGCTTCTGAAATAGTTTAAAGCTCTGATAGAGCTCAGGATTGATCAGGACGGCTGCTTTACTCCAAACAGTTTCACTGTGTGAACTTGGACTGTGTGTGAGACCATTTGGATGTGTAGAAGAACACAAGATATTAATTAACGTTAGATTGCGACTGATCCTGTCACGGTGTCGGGAGATTAGTGCTGCCGTTCCCCGTGATTAAATGCACACAGCGTATCTTTTAATGGGGAGACGCTTCCCCCTAATTTACCCACCCGGAAAGTCACAAAACGTTTTGCCTAAGGCTCTGCCTGCAAACAGCGGTGCTCTCAGTTCTTGCATGCTCAAGGTTTTCAGGCGTTTCCCCAAGTGTGGACACTGAGCGTGGAACAGTTTTTCAAGTTGAAATGAGGGTAGCGACGTGTAATCAGCTGCGTCCGCATGGCCTTCATTTAAATTGATCATGTAATCAGTGGGGTTTATTCAGATGATTTTATTTAAACATACATATAATTACGGAGGTCCGGACCTCGGTGACTTCATACGACCATGCTTGTAAACACTCTGTTGAAGGACAGTGTGTAAGTGCGTGCCCACACACAGTCGTGTCATGTGCGCATTTCTACGGTGCAGCACCCCTAAGCGAAAAGGATAGCAGCAAAACAATCAGCTCATATGTTGATCTAATGTGCAATCACCAGGCTGACAAAACTGCTGACACGCTGAGGCATGAAGCCGTCACCAGGTTTCTTTTTAAAGGAAGCGTCATGTGAACGTCATCAACAGAAAACAATAACGCCTGCAGGGAAGGTCGCACACACAAAAATAAACTAATATACTAAAATATATTTATAAATCTACCACTACAAAACGAAGATAAATATAAGTGACTTCTTACCCCCCCGCCGCCTGCATCACACTGAGGGCTGATGGGAACTGGAATTGACACATCATGCTGCTTTTTGCTCCTCGCTCTTATTCCTCCCATCATGCTCCTGTCGCCTGAGTCGTTTTATTTCTGCTGATGGTTGTTGACCCGACATCACAGCAAGCTGCTCAAACCAACAGCACACTAACAGCCACGCTGACAGCAATGGCAACAAACTGTGGCTTCACTGGTCCGACAAAGAGGCAGGAAGACTGATAAAAAGAAGATTTATAGCAGGGTTTGAGGGACGTGGAGCCGGAGAAAAGACCTTCTTTTAACAACTGGAGACAAGACAGCTGTCAGTTAGTTGGAGTAGTTCCACTAAAATGTTTATTTATGTGTAATCTCAGTTTAAATTGTAAGTATGAAGATCATATGTGGATATTTCTGGGTGAGCAGGATCATGGTGCAGCTGCAGGATGTAGTTAGAAACAGGGTGTTTTACCAGCTTTTCTCTGACTTTGTTTAAATGTACTACATTTGTGGAAGCCGCTGAAATAAAGCCACTGTATTTCAAGTGCAAATCACCAAACACATCCCTACTGAATCAGACCTTGTGCTTACAATCATCTTTCTTTGCCTATATACGTTTCATCATCAGTTGCTGTGTTTTGTCCCATTTGGCCTCATGTGGACTTTGGTTAGGTTTTGGCAACAAACCCACTTGGGTTTAGGAAAAGATACTGGTTTGGGTTAAAATAAGTATATCACAAAAGTCAAGTGTCGTAAGTCACCTACAAAACGTTATTTAACTTAAAACATGTCACCTTTGACTTTCTTCCACGTGGGACTCAAACCTCGGTCTCCTGAGTGAAAGTCCTGAGTTTACTTGACTTATCCACCCCACCGCCTCTATACATGGACTTTCATAATAAGTCACCTGACTTCCTCTGCCTATAGAAGGCGTGGCCTTTCAAAAATATCAAATATGCTGTTGCATAATAGACCTGTACAACCGTTTTTTTTTTGTTGAGGTCGGGCTGGTTTTGTCCCATTAGGCCTCAGGTGATAATGGCAAAAAGGATTATTCAGACTCGACCTCAGGTGTCTAATGACAGTCATTACAACAGCCTGGACCGCTAACGAACCAATCGTGTCCATCACCTTGATAACGACCCAACACAGGGTAAAATAGCTGGGACTCCCTACCAGTCAGTGAATGACAAACGTCTTCAAATCCAACCCGTTCGCTCTCCCTGACTCATCAGATATGGACGCATGGTCAAGACCCATCGGCGTCAGTTTGTAACGCACTGGGGATCCTTGTAGCGTCATAATGCAACACACTGTTGGAAGCCCTGTAGCGTTAGTTTGTGACGGTAAAGGCAGGTATATGATATTTAACAGAAAAGACTGAGCAAGGAGGTGGATGGAGGGCTTTCTTTCCGATCTGCAGATCCCACAGGGAGCATTTCAGAATAAGAGCATTTGCCTGCCTGATTTTGCTGACATATTTAGATTTTGTTGATTTAGTGATAAGTGCTTGCTTTTTGACCTTCTACTATGATTAAGTAGCTACATAGTTAAATTGTTTCTTTTTTGTCTGTTTTATCTGTGTTTATTGTTGGTATACGATCGGGGGTCTGCACGGGGTATTTTATTTTGAAAATGGCTGCATATTCTCTCCAGAGAGGACCGAAGAGACACTTCTGGTGTGAGCACAAGTATTGACTAGAGTAGCTGCGACGCAGACGGGCTCAGGTGGGACCCGCGATGAAGCTCCGCCCCCCCCTGTGCTGAGAGTCTAGCGCCGCCCCCGCCTAAACATAACCAAATTGCAACGTTTCACAACTTTAATAACGTGCCATTTCAAAATGGCAATGTTTCTAAATGCTAGCGTTGTATTTTGAAAGTCTACCCAGACGTTGCATATGTTGCTAAGTTGAATAAAAATGAAGCTAAAGGGCCTTGATCACGAGTCAATATGTGATGAGTCTGGAGTGTATGTGTCATCAAAAATCTTCAATCAAGTCCAGTTGCCTTTATTTTAACCGTCCTTGGATAACTGTGACTTTTCCACCTGCTGATTGGCTTTCTGTTAATGAACAAATAGATTCATTGAATATAATCAGATTTTCATTTACTTACATTTATGTTTTCATCCAGATACTTGATGAACAAATCGTCCATTTGAAAACAAGGACGCTCTGTTGTCCCTCTGCTGACCCTCTAATAAATTCCTGTCCAGACTTTAGGCCACGGGCCTCAGGTTTGACGAACACTGCTTCAGCTTGAGATGATTTCAGATGACTTCGTCAGCACTGTGAGATCTAATGAGAAGCCGGACTCATAGAGGAGATAAGGAATGATAATATCCACGAGCTGGTGAAACTTTAATTACATGCACAGTGATTCAGACACGACTGTAATTACAGAGTGATCTGGGTCAGCTGCACGTAGAACGAGTACACGTGTAATTTTGTTACATAATTGAAGTAGTAATGGATTCCTGCCTGCTGTAAACAAACACTGATCCAGTTTATGTCCAGTTCAGAGAGGATTTTTTCCACTTCTGTTCCCAACACTTGCTGTAAATAATGCTGCCTTCAAAGCGTGTTGGCTTGAGTGGGACCTGCCGTGTAAGGAGGTGGTGGCGTCGATGGATGTGTCAAGTAAGCTCAGGACTACAAGTCCCATGTTAAAGAAAGTCAAAGGTGACAAGTTTTAATTTAAATAAAGTTTCTGACTGAATGTTTTGAGTTACATTACATAACGTGCTTATTTATTA